GCAGGTGGATCCATAACGACAATAATCAATAAATAGTTCAAACTCTGCTTTTACATTAAACATTATAATAATAATAATAGATTAGTTTAATGAAGCTGCTGTATATAAACACCGTCCTCAGTAACGCAGTACTTTTACTCTGATTACAATAGTTATCGATCTGAACATCCACAGCACGTGGGATCTGATCGATATCGATATCTGATCGCTGGGTGACGCGCTGAGAGCCACAGGTCGCTGCAGCCTCACGCGGCTTTCGCAGAGTTACCGGAGAGTCACCGGAGAGTTACCGGAGAGTTACCGGAGAGTCACCGGAGAGTCACCGGAGAGTTACCGGAGAGTTACCGGAGAGTCACCGGAGAGTCACCGGAGAGTTACCGGAGAGTTACCGGAGAGTCACCGGAGGATGTGTGGGTGTGCGCGCCCCGCTCACGCGCTCATTAACCACCGGAAGTGTGTGTTTTTGAAGCAAAGAGAGAGAAAGCTGAGACTCACCCGCTGAGTCCATCAGAGCCGCAGACCGTCAACTCCCGCAGCTGCGCACGCACACACTCCCGACTCGGACCTTCACAATAAAGGTTCGACTGAGGGACCGGAAGCTGCTGCTGTCAGTCTGCACTTAATAATCTAATATTCTAATAATGATTATAAAGCAGCTTGAATGTTACACTGATATTAACATAGTTTACTATATTCAACGTTTTTATAACAAATGTTTATTATTATTATTATTATTATTATTTACATTATAGTGTTTGTTGATTAATTTGTGAATTAATAGAATTAAATACTTTATTATTAGCCTGTAGGAAGTGACTATTACTTGGGTATTAGTGGAGAAATGTTCTGATATACTATCATTATTAACCTGTGATTATTAATTCATCCATCTTTGATCAACCCATCTCAGCCTTTCTGATTCTTATACCAGTTTTATGGTTTTATCTTAATATTATTTGTATTATTACTAACTTGTTTTTATTACCTGTATCTATATAACTCTGTTCCTTATAAATATAATTTCCCTGTTATGAACTATATAGTATTTTATTATTCTAGTATATTCTTTATATTGTGTGTAGATATTCTACAGTTTATTATATTGTCAATGTTTTTCTGACCCTTCTGGATACATTTAGTTTTATTGATGGATTATAATCAATAATACAGAACTGTTTGTTTCAGTGTCACTGAGGTTTTATGTTGTTATAAATACTGTTTGTAGTATAATCCTCATTATTGAGTTTTTATTAAAAGCTGATGAGCTGCAGTAACGTGTGGCTTCAGGCTCAGAACGCTTTTATTGTGGTGTTCAGAATGTTTACAGGCTTTTATTTTGAAAATGAGAGTGCAGGATGAGTGGTTTTATTGTGGCGGTGCTGACAGATGGATCCAGACTGAGGAATGCAGCAGATCCAGAGTCAGTCAGAGCTTCACCTCAACCAGAGAGTGTGTGTGTGTGTGAGAGTGTGTGTGAGAGTGTGTGTGTGTGTGTGTGTGTGTGTGTGTGTGTGTGTGTGTGTGTGTGTGTGAGAGTGTGTGTGTGTGTGTGTGTGTGTGTGTGTGTGTGTGTGTGTGTGTGTGTGTGAGGTCGCGACCTGCAGCCTGAGGGTCACCTGTCCTCTGCAGGTGAGACTATGAGTGAAGGTGTGACGGCCACGCGGCCTCCAGCTGTTTTCACACGCAGATCACTCTTCGTGATCGGTGACCTCATCTTCTGACATCATGACCTCCACTCTCAGTAAGAGTGCAAGCGAGAGGAGAGGAAGAGGAGGAGGATGAAGAGGAGGAGGACGTGCTGCAGGCGTCTCTGAGCGGAGACAGTTAATGAGCAGTCTGTCAACACTGTAATTAAACTGTGGACTGAAATTACATCTCAGCTACCGCCGCCCTCGCCGCTGCTCGCCGCCTTTGCCGCTGCTCGCCCTTCACCGCCGACCATAAAGAGTGCGAGCACAACAACTACCAGAAGAACTGTGTAATAAAAGAGCTTCTAATTTCCTGTTTCATTATTTCATTCACCTCACGAATCGGCCCAATGCTTCCAACAGCAACACCAGAACACTGAAAGATACACCCAGTATAAACCCATCAGACCCAGTATAAACCCATCAGACCCAGTATGAACCCATCAGACCCAGTATGAACCCATCAGACCCAGTATGAACCCATCAGACCCAGTATAAACCCATCAGACCCAGTATAAACCCATCAGACCCAGTATGAACCCATCAGACCCAGTATAAACCCATCAGACCCAGTATGAACGCATCAGACCCAGTATAAACCCATCAGTTTAAATCCAACATCAAACCCAGTTTAAAACCAGAGCATCACACCCAGTTTAAAACCAGTTAAAATCCAGCATCAAACCCAGTTTAAATCCAGCATCAAACCCAGTTTAAATCCAGCATCAAACCAGTTTAAATCCAGCATCAAACCCAGTTTAAATCCAGCATATAACCCAGTTTAAAACCAGTCTAAATCCAGCATCTAACCCAGTTTAAATCCAGCATCAAACCTAGTTTAAATCCAGCATCAAACCCAGCATCTAACCCAGTTTAACACCAGTCTAAATCCAGCATCTAACCCAGTTTAAACCAGCATCTAACCCAGTTTAACACCAGTCTAAATCCAGCATCTAACCCAGTTTAAACCAGCATCTAACCCAGTTTAAACCAGCATCTAACCCAGTTTAACACCAGCGTCAAACCTAGTTTAAATCAAGCATCAAACCCAGCATCAAACCCATCAGACCCAGTATGAACCCATCAGACCCAGTATAGATCAAGTAGTAAAATCATTTAAAGTAATGAACCAGGTTTACTTACTGGTCTAATCCCAGTATAAACCCAGTTTAAACTGGTTGTTAGAGGCCTGTTAGTGTGGGCAGTCCGGGTACATTAACATATAAATAACCTCCTCCCCCCTCGGCTGCTGGGTGGTGGGTGAGGAGGGGTGAGTGGGGTGAGAGGGGAATAAGGAGGTCAAGGGAATGAATGAGTTTGTCTGCGGCTGAATGAGCAGGACGACTTCTGTCCGTCTGTTAAAGGATCAATTAACTGATCCATAAACTAATTGATAAACTGATCCTCAAACTTTCTGTTTACCGGAGCTCTGAGGCCCCTGCAGCTCTGGGTGGGAATCCCCTCAGCCCAGGCTTCCCACCGGGGGCAGCGGGGTCAGTGCAGCTCCTTCAGACGGACCGACACTGGATGCTTTGTCCTCCAGACATTCCCCGGTCACAGCGACGTTCCCACACGGAGCAGGAAAATTACAGGCTGTACCCAAACGCCTCATTATAACAGCAGAGGAAGAATTCACCTGACGGCCTTAAACACACACTGACTGCACTCATCCAGACATCCCACAATCCCTCCTGACACGTTTAAGATCTTTGGTAACGTTATTATAAAACCAGCATCTAACGCAGTTTAAATCCAGCATCAAACCCAGTTTAAAACCAGCATCAAACCCAGTTTAAATCCAGCATCAAACCCAGTTTAAATCCAGCATCAAACCCAGTTTAAAACCAGCATAAAACCCAGTTTAAATCCAGCATCAAACCCAATTTAAATCCAGCATCTAACACAGTTTAAAACAAGTCTAAATCCAGCATCTAACCCAATTTAAAACCAGCATCAAACCCAGTTTAAAACCAGCATCAAACCCAGTTTAAAACCAGCGTCAAACCCAGTTTAAATCCAGCATCAAACCCAGTTTAAACCCAGCATCAAACCCAGCATCCAACCCAGTTTAAATCCAGCATACCATTAAATCCAACATCAAACCCAGTTTAAAACCAGCATCAAACCCAGTTAAAATCCAGCATCAAACCCAGTTTAAAACCAGCATCAAACCCAGTTTAAATCCAGCATCCAATCCAGTTTAAATCCAGCATCAAACCCAGTTTAAATCCAGCATCTAACCCAGTTTGAAACCAGCATCAAACCCAGTTTAAAACCAGCATCAAACCCAGTTTAAAACCAGTTAAAATCCAGCGTCAAACCCAGTTTAAATCCAGCATCAAACCCAGTTTAAACCCAGCATCCAACCCAGTTTAAATCCAGCATCCAACCCAGTTTAAATCCAACATCAAACCCAGTTTAAAACCAGCATCAAACCCAGTTAAAATCCAGCATCAAACCCAGTTTAAAACCAGCATCAAACCCAGTTTAAAACCAGCATCAAACACAGTTTAAATCCAGCATCCAATCCAGTTTAAATCCAGCATCAAACCCAGCATCCAACCCAGTTTAAATCCAGCATCTAACCCAGTTTAAAACCAGCATCAAACCCAGTTTAAAACCAGTTAAAATCCAGCATCAAACCCAGTTTAAATCCAACATCAAACCCAGTTTAAATCCAACATCAAACCCAGTTTAAAACCAGTCTAAATCCAGCATCTAACCCAGTTTAAAACCAGCATCAAACCCAGTTTAAATCCAACATCAAACCCAGTTTAAAACCAACATCAAACCCAGTTTAAAATCCAGCATCTAACCCAGTTTAAATCCAGCATCTAACCCAGTTTAAATCCAACATCAAACCCAGTTTAAATCCAACATCAAACCCAGTTTAAATCCAGCATCAAACCCAGTTTAAATCCAACATCAAACCCAGTTTAAATCCAACATCAAACCCAGTTTAAATCCAGCATCAAACCCAGTTTAAATCCAACATCAAACCCAGTTTAAATCCAGCATCAAACCCAGTTTAAAACCAGTTTAAATGCTGTTTTTTGTTTTTTATTGTCTTTAATAATATCTCTGTGTTTGTGTTTGTTGTTTACCTCATATTGCTTTAAATATTGTTTTTATAAAGTGTTTTACAAATGGTCATCATAATCATTATTATTATAATTAGAACTCCAGGATATTCCAGGAGCTCCACACAGACTATATGTTATATGATCCCCAGATTCACTTCCTGGTTTGAAGCAGCTCGCAGCACCAACAGCAGTGTGTCGTCACGGCAACCACGCTCCCTCAGCTTCTTACCTAGCATGCCGGCGCCCTCTGCTGGGAACTCTGGGAACTGTCCTTCAGAGGGGACGCTGACGGTCCTACGGAGACTCCGACCCTTGGATGAGTCTGTGGGGCTCTCCAGGGCCTCCCCTGCAGCCTGGGGGAGGACGGGGGAGGAGAGAGTTAACATCTGATATATTGTATTATCTTATGTTATATACTTAATGCTGATGTTAAAGTGGAGAAATCAGGTTAAACTCTGAACTGTGTGTATGTTGGGATGCTGTGGAGGTAACCGTGGCGACTGCAGTGTGTGCACAGAAACAAAGATGGCGGCGTGTTCTGACCTCGTCGTCCCTGTGCAGCAGGATGAGCTGGCTGTCTGTCAGGATGCAGAACTTCCTCTCCCAGGCGCCGCTGTCGCTGTACGGACTCTGACCGCAGGAGAACCGGTGGGCCGGAGGACCTTTGATATCTGCACACACACACACACACACACACACAAGTAAATATACAATAATAATAATAATAATAATAATAATAATCTATTTGATGCACGATGAGGTAAAAGATTAATCTGAGTGACTCTGATTCTGCTTTTGGATAATATTTAATGAATTAAGCAATAAAAGGAGGAAGAGGAGGGGAGATGAAGCTGCTCTGGGCTCTGAGGGTCAGCAGGACACACAGAGAGAGACACACAATAAATAAAGATAAATAAAGATAAATAAAGATAAATAAAGATAGTGGGCAGCAGTGGAACAGGACAGAGCTGAACCTGCAGAGGGCGCTGTAACTCTACACTGTTAACCTACTGCTCACCACTGCTGCTGGAGGAGGAGGAGGAGGAGGAGGAGGATTAAAAATGAAAGTGATGTCTGGAGGAACGAGCCGTCTGATCTCAGCTGACACTGTGTCACAGTCAGCAGACTCAGCAGAGGTCAGAGGTCAGAGGTTATGTGCAGCACTGTTGTTTTTACTGTCGGTCCGTTGCCAACAATCAGAGCATTGAACATTAATTATATAAACGGATTATTATTATTATTGCAGTGATTTCCTGTATAAACACAGTGAATAATAACAATCAGTTAATGTAAGAAACCAGGTATTAGACAGGCCCCGTCTATGGATACAGCTGCCCCACCAGCAGGGTGGAAACAGGCTACTGACTGCAGTTTCCCTCCAACTCTAACAGGAGAAAACATCACACACACATTCTTTCCAGGATATTTTATCCATTTCCAGGTTTTCCAGGTATTCCAGGTTTTCCAGGGAGCGTGGAAACCCTGATAACACTTCAGAGAGCGATGGAAGAAGAGATTGTACTGATCGACAGTATTTTAATATGAAAACAGAATTTCACACAGGAAGTGTGTCTGTGTGTGTGTGTGTGTGTGTGTGTGTGTGTGTGTGTGTGTGTGTGTGTCTGTGTGTGTGTTTGTGAGTGTGTGTCTGTGTCTGTGTGTGTGTGTGTGTGTGTGTGTGTTTGTGAGTGTGTGTCTGTGTGTGTGTGTGTGTGTGTGTGTCTGTGAGTGTGTGTGTGTGTGTGTGTGTGTGTGTGTGTGTCTGTGAGTGTGTGTGTCTGTGTGTGTGTTTGTGAGTGTGTGTCTGTGTCTGTGAGTGTGTGTGTGTGTGTGTGTGTGTTTGTGAGTGTGTGTCTGTGTGTGTGTTTGTGAGTGTGTGTCTGTGAGTGTGTGTGTGTGTGTGTGTGTGTGTGAGTGTGTGTGTGTGTGTGTGTGTTTGTGAGTGTGTGTCTGTGTGTGTGTTTGTGAGTGTGTGTCTGTGAGTGTGTGTGTGTGTGTGTGTGTGTCTGTGAGTGTGTGTGTCTGTGTGTGTGTTTGTGAGTGTGTGTCTGTGTGTGTGTGTGTGTGTGTGTGTGTGTGTGTGTGTGTCTGTGTGTGTGTGTGTGTGTCTGTCTGTGAGTGTGTGTGTGTCTGTGTGTGTGTGTTGTGAGTGTGTGTCTGTGAGTGTGTGTGTGTCTGTGTGTGTGTGTTTTGTGAGTGTGTGTCTGTGTGTGTGTTTGTGGTGTGTGTCTGTGATGTGTGTGTGTGTGTGTGTCTGTGAGTGTGTGTGTCTGTGTGTGTGTTTGTGAGTGTGTGTCTGTGAGTGTGTGTGTGTGTGTGTGTGTCTGTGTGTGTGTGTGTGTGTGTGTGTGTGTGTGTGTGTGTGTGTGTGTGTGTGTAGCGTTGAACAGAAGCTGGGTCTGTTTCAGTCTGTTTGTGTGCAGCGTCTCGTTGCGGGGACCAGTAAACAGACGGTGCTTTCACTGTGCCTGACTGTGCTGGGATCTTTCAGCGTCTGTCAGTAAACACACACAAACACAGACACACAGAGACACACACACACACAGAGACACACACACACACACACAGACACACAGACACACAGACACACACACACACACACACACACACACACACACACACACACACACACACACACACACACACAGACTGTCTCGTCTGGACGCCGGCGCAGGAAGTGCTGGATGTGATTATTTACAGGTGAAACACTGACAGGTCCTGATACTGTTTCCAGCCTCAGTGGTTCTGGTCCAGACTGATGGATAGAGGGCGGGTCCACAGGCTCAGATACAGTGAAACCCAGCTGCTAACACTTCTTATGATAATATTGTCTCCTGCATTAGAGCTCAGTGGTACAGTGGCAGTGAGTGTTCACTGACCGTTGGACATCAGACCGCTTTATCAATCTCCTCCAGGGTGCGAGGCGTTCACTGCCTCCGTTAACTACACGCACTTCTCCTGAAACTGATCTACACACTGACCCTTCGTATGCAGGTCCTGGAAAACCTGGAAATTCAGAGACTAGTTTTCCAGTCGTGGAAATGGATGACAATGAGCAGATGTTCTATATTGCTGGTGTCTCCTTCAGGCTCCAGATCAGGTCACAGAGAACAGGGAAGCTGCTGAACAGCTGCAATCACTTCCACATTTCTGTTCCTGGAACTAAATCAGATCACAGCAGGAACCCGGCGGAGAGACACCGATGACGCTGAAACGCCGTCAGCGGGAGGAAACTGAAGTGAGAACGAACGTCAGACAGGAACTTCCGAAGAACTCATGGAGAAGTAGTTATTGTCCTCCTCTAGTGAAGGATGAAATCAACCAAACTCCATTCAGAAAACAAGCATTTTAAAAGCTGTTTGCAGACTCTGAATTCAGACTTTAATCTCCACCATGATGTCGTTGTTTCAGCCTCATATTGATCCGTTTATTGATAAATCAGAGAAATAAACCAGATTAAAGGGGAGTAATGTGGGAAAGGATGTTGAGACCCTGTTCTCTATAAATGAGGTCATCATGAGAACGTGTTAAATGGTCTAATCTCAGCAGTGCTGAACACATGGAAAACATACAAACTCAAGAACTTCATTATTCATTAACCTCAATTTTAAAGCCGACATATAAAGTTGTTCAGCTTTAACAGATTTAAGGAGCTCCAGAGCTCTCTCTCTCTCTCTCTCTCTCTCTCTCATTGCTAATAACTCTCATCCATAACAAGGCCATAGGAAGTGCACATCACTAAAGCCAGAATGAGGAGGAGTCGTTCCCTTGCAGGAGCACAGCAGCTACAGAACAACGTGCCGGTTGTTGATGAATTACAGCCACGTGAAGCAAGTGGAGCAGAGCTGAAGGAGGACCAGGAAGCAGCTGAGGAGCTCCACTTTCAGCAGACTATTTCTGGCTGCATACTAAATCATCCACGTCAGAGCTCGGCCTAGAAGCCCCTGAGAGATCTGAAGGGAGTCACACCTGCTCCTGTTCAGGCTGCTGAGCGAGAGAGCGCCGGCCGACGAGGAAGGAAGAGGAAGGCTAATTGGCTGCTTTTACTCCTCTGTCTACGAGCACCGCGGAGGGACGCCGGCTCGGCTAATCAGCAGATCCAAGGTCTGCTGCCGCTCACGAGACATTTGGACGCCTCCGAGCCGACAGATGAGCAGAGTTGAACAAAGACGGGAAACAGGGAAGGGACGGCTGCTCCTAGATCAGAGTCAGACGGAGAGAGGCCTTACGTAACAGCTTGTACCTGCTGTCGTCACACAGACCTCCACAGACCCCAACAGAACTCCACAGACCTCCACAGAGCTCCACAGACCTCAACAGACCTAAACAGAACTCCACAGAGCCCCACAGAGCTCAACAGACCTCCACAGACCTCCACAGACCTCCACAGACCTCCACAGAGCTCCACAGACCTCCACAGAGCCCCACAGACCTCAACAGACCTCAACAGAACTCCACAGAGCTCCACAGAGCTCCAAAGAGCCCCACAGAACTCCACAGACCTACACAGACCCCCACAGACCCCCACATACCTCCAGAGACCTCAGTGCGGAGCTCAGAGGACTCCAGCTGCTGGCAAACACACACTCATGACGACTGGAGGCAGGAAAATGAGCCAAAATCAGTTAATTATTTGTCCACTTGAAGAGGAATCCATAAAGCAACAATCTTTATGCAGAAAAAGATCAATCAATCAATGCAGAACTCCCTTTGTAAATCACACATTTAAACTCAGACACTGACTTCCAGGTCTCCAGTTTCACAAGTTCATTAAACAGAAAGTATCTTTGATTCCTTTCAGACAGACAGGGACGCCACCGGAGCTTCTGCTGTTTCCTGGAGGGAAGTGCTCTCTTTAGGCTCGCAGTTGGACGGGTGGTCGACTCCAATGAGCCTTCGACTCACAGTGTATTAAAACTGTACGGTGTTAAATGCTTAACAAACGCCACTTTTTCCAACAGACTCTGGTGGCTTTCTTGACCTTGACCACATGTTAACAACTGAGTTATCTCCATGACAACAGAGCAAACTCCATCCAGTAGAGCACTGGTGCCCAGCCTTTTCCTTCCAGGGACCCTTTTCTATCATCTATCAATCAACGATGATCCTGCTTTTTGCAGAAAGACACAAAAAACAACCACAAAGACAAAAAACAACCACAAAGACACAGAAAACAACCACAAAGACACAAAAACAACCACAAAAACAACCACAAAGACACAAAAACAACCACAAAAACACAGAAAACAACCACAAAGACACAAAAACAACCACAAAAACAACCACAAAGACACAGAAAACAACCACAAAGACACAAAAACAACCACAAAAACAACCACAAAGACACAAAAACAACCACAAAGACACAAAAACAACCACAAAGACACAGAAAACAACCACAAAGACACAGAAACACGGTGGTTCAATATGGCGGACTCCGCCAGCAGAGGACCTCGCTCTGTAAATAAAAACGTCTCATTCTGAGGTAACGAAACTAAAATGATTCTTATACTCAGGTGATTATAAATGAATGAAAACAAACCTATGAATATTATATTAATGTTACACACTGGAGCTTTACCCAACCTTCAATGTAAAAACAGGTTTATTTTAGTTTATAACATTTTACTGTATGGTATCTCCTGAGCAGGTCTCACAGCTCCACATGCTG